TCACAAACGAGGATATATATCTTATCCAATCTTCCTATATCTACATATATGCGTATGTTCTCAAGAAGCTCAACTGTTCGCAAACGTATGTATTGTTACTTCCAAAATATGTTTTTAAACATAAAGTAAATGAAACTGCAAGTATGTAGCAGACGTAAGGATGAAAAATAGAAAACATGTTGACAACCACTGGCTTTCAGTTGTATATATCTAATACTAAATATTGGAATTAAAGTGACTTATCTAATAGATAATTTTATGAATGTGTGTTTGTTTGAATGTGTGCCTGGATGCACGATTACAAATTTCTATGTCCCTCTCTAAACAGCATGTCGAGAATGCAAATAGAACAGTAGAATATTCACTATGGCTCTTTCAAGCAACAGTTTAGGCTCAATACAAAGACTACATCGTGTCTTGCTTGCTGAATGAAAGATGTGACAAGGATTTATCAAACAAGGATCATATTTTATCAAAGAGACTACGTCAATATGAATATTAAAACAAATTCTTGATAAATGTTGAGTAAAATTAACATAATTCGTACATTTGTATATGTATTCTATTATTTTAAATAAAAAGATTATTCACGAATATTCTGTTACCTAGTTCAATATTAGTTTCAAATTAAAATAAGGACTTGCCATTCAATTCCACTCTACACTCGAAATAATTTTAATTCCCTATGGAACACTTCTCAGAGGCAATCTTCCCAACCGTTACCTAATGAGGAGTGTTATGCCCTAATTTACTATTCGCAGAATTTTTAATGATTGGGATTCGCTAAAATAATTGTTGAGAAAATTTATTCATATCAGACTTGTCATAAAGAAGTCGACGTTACTTGCTTAAGGCATCTGACTGCTATCTGATAGTGTCTTAACTTTTATGCTAGAAGTATGCTAGATATTATTCAGGGCAAAAAATCACTGTCACATCGTTTCTCTTTTAAATGTAGCATGCATGGAAAAAGGCTGCATGACCACCATAAATTTAGAATAAGTAAAAACTTACTTAACGTAGTCTGTTACTAGATATGCTCCTTTTGTGCTTGAAAGCTTCCGACAGGAGGTCTTAAGGTTATTCTGAAACTATTAGCCAACCAGGCCATTATGAAATTTTATTTTTATAAACACCCAAGGGACAGCAAGTTACTGAAATGTAGATAAAATTATTTACTGTAGTGCTGTGGTAGTTGTTGAACTTTTCTCTTTCTCTTTCATGACCTTTCATTCTCTTCTATTGCACACTGTAATGCACGATAACTTAAAAAGTTATGAGAATAATACAGTAAAGCTAGTCATCACAGCACATACATATAGATATGTAGAGATATTCAGGTAATCTCCTTAATCTAGAATCCAGTGATGTCATCTACAAACATATGTAACTGAAATGTCTGGATAAGAAAGGCAATGCCTAGCAACTGTCATCCAATTTCTCTGATTATGCAAAAGATTTGTTATCTTCCAAAATTTTCATGTTATTCCAACTCATATTCATGCTTCCAGAAATCTATTCTGTAATCATCATTGTCATTTTGTTCTAAAAGATCATATTCTCTTATTCAAATGTTATTATAATCTATCTCTTTTCATATAGAGAAAATGTTTATCTATTAAACATTATAATGTTTTCTAGGTCTCGTAATAAAGAACTCCTACTTCTAAATACAATTCTTTTTTCTGTTTTCTAACAATTGTATTGATTTATTTAACTAAGTATATATTACTAAATAAATTCCTCTAACATATATACATAAAGGTGTTTTTACATGCAACCAAGACAATATAAAAAAACTATTTAATGGTTGTGCAATATAAAAGGTCGTTAAATAAAACTATGAAAAACATTGTAGGTCTGTGAATAAATAAGTTTTACTCATGTGACACCATCCTCATCATAAGTACTCAGCGTTTGGTGAGTAAATAATTCTGACAAGTAGACGTGCGTTTTCAAGTCCACTTCATAGAATGGCTAACCACTTCAGTTTCTTATCATTCTTTTAGAAACTACAGAGGATGGTGAAAAGGCTGAGGATAAAAAAACAAAACACCTCGATTTGAGAGGGAGATTAGAATGATTCATGTTGGAAATATATGGGTGAGTTAGTTCGGCGCACCGATTTTTGTTCATTGCGCAGCATCAGTTTACGTCACGAACCACGTGACCACAAGAGGGGACCTTCGTTTGAAAATGCAGAGCAGGCCATGTTGTATGGAAAGCGAGAAGTGCTGGGAAACATTTCGAAAGTGGCATAAAGTGACACTGTAATACAATGGAGGTAAAATAAAAGTTGTAATATTTAAAATAAATGCTTCACTTGTTTCCATGGTTTGTAACAAGGTGATAATTGGTATCTGGCTGCATTAAAAATTCTCGCTAATATTGTGACGCAAACTTCTGAAGTCAGATATGATGCGCAATAGCTCACCCATCTATTTCCATCATGGAATGGTTGATCAAGATAGGTAAAATACGAGGGGAGAACTATTCGACTCTTTTCAATAAGGATTTTTACATCTGTAAAGCAAAATACCATGTTCGACAAAATGCTTTCATTCGCTGGCAAAATCGGACTTACTTATGGAGTCAGCTTAACGTCCAACTCAGCAATACAATGAACGCGAATACAAACATTTATACACGAATGGTATTCGAAGCCGAATCTCTTCAGGCACTTGCACTGAGTCACTGTCTAATCTAGGGGGAATGGGGCTTGACCTCCCCCAACCCAAGATTTGTTTTGTAATTACAGTCAAAATATTTAAAATAATGGCTCTCACCACATAGATCTCACAACATTCAAAACAGTATTCTCATGATGAATATACTCATACACTTTTTGATTGACGCTGATAATTAAAAAAAAATAACTCTTCCAAACATATTTATGGGGGCCTGTAATGAATTTGCCCCACCTCCCCTGATTACCTTCTAATTCGGCCAATACGCTGCCTCCACGCGCTTTAGTATTAGTAGTACCATTCGTCTATCCATACCATTCGATCACCGGACGGATCATCGCACCACCCCATTCCATATCCATAACAAAATACATGCATGTATGTTTTATATTTATAGTAATATCATCAAAAACATTTGTTCATCTTTCAGCGTACGTCATAGTACAGATGCGACGGAAGGCATAATTTATCTTAATGATGCTATCACTAATTAGTGTGTAGTTTTCCTGAAAATGGTTTAAATTTTATAGAATAACATTTTGTTTTGTAATGTAAGAAGGAATATGAAACAGTATATCACACTGACACTTAAAGTTCATCTATGAAACTGGTGGCGGTACAACCAGGGCACTGTCTTTCTCGTACCATTTGTAACGGTTTTACTTACATTTTAAACGGATACATAGCAAATTATGTACTTCTAATATTTCAGTTATCGTGGGCAAATCTCTTCACTAAACCGCTTAAAGAACAGCACAAGTCTTCTCAACTGCACTTTACAAGTAAAGGTGTTCATCTACAAACACGTAATTTTTTTATATTTCCTCAATTTTCGAGTCGTTTCCAGTCCAATAAGTCTTTCTGTATAAATATTGTGGGGCAAATAAAACATTTTGAGAAAAATCGTTAGAACGTTTTTGAAATTACGCCATTATAAGTTTATTTTCCCTCAAAAACGTTTGAGAAAATTCATATGAAATAATTTGTAGATAACGTGTTCATAAACCGATTCAATTATGAAATTCATTTGAAATGTTTTATTAATGACGTGATTAGTAATAAAAAACATGAAGTTTGAAGAAACTTGAAAATGAAATGTTTTAATCAAACTAGCTCTGATGATATGAGATTCAGTGTATTTGGTTCTCTCTGTACAAAAAGTTTAAAGAAACTATTTGTGGTCGTTTTTGGGAGAAACGTGTTAATATATTTTTTCAATTATCACGATTTCTCTCAAAACAATGCAACTACTCATATTTTGAAAAATGTATGATCTAATTTAAATAGTGGTCTAATATTGAAAAATCAAATGTCTTTTCTAAAATATCTGTATTGTCAGTATTGTAAATGTAAGAGTAGTACATACAAATGTTTAAACTTTTGCAATTTCAAAAATTTAAAGATGTAAAAGAAAATCAGACACTCTAATTTTTAAATACGGCTTAGCCCTATTTTAGCACAAGAATTAAAGAAAATATTTGGAGCAATTGTGAAGAAAAGTTAGAAATGTCTTGGGAGTTTCATGTAAAAAAATCTAAATCTTCGATTTCTTATTCGCAGTACCATGAGTACGAGGAAATCCATTGATTAGTATTCCTTTCTGTAAAATTCTGAAAACTATTCTGGACCCACTGGTGTCCATAAACGCACCGGCAGGCAGACTTCTAAAAACCTTTTTTCAGTATTAGAGACCCCATAACGTGTATTTCTGTTAAAAATTCGACATCAATTTTTGGCAGCATTCGAATCCTTTACCTGTACCACACACATGAAAAGTAAAAATAAAGCACATATAGATACGGATCAAATATATTTTAAAATAACTTTTAAATCATTGATTTACATGAGAAATTATAGGTTTCAGCAAAGATATTTTATAAATAATACAATTTTTTTACATTTTTGAGATATATACATATTAGTTTTAGGAAATAGATATTTGCGTTGCAAGACATTATTTCTCGAAGGGACTGATAGTTCTCTGATTCACTTCAGTTAGTTTCTGCCAAGGGATGGGCAACTTTCGTTACGCATGGAGGCTATTTTTTAAAACAACTTCACTGAAATCTTATAAACCACCCATGTTTGAATTAACATGATTGTTTACTTTCAAATGTAAATCATGTCAAAATTATTTAAATAGCTGATGTTCGAACAATAAAATCCGTACATAAAACAAGCCCCCGGCAAAGAAGGTAACCCTTATATAAAAAACATAAAAACATATAAAAAACAGATATTTTCATTGGCAGCGTGGGATGTTGAATTCGCGGTTGAAGCCAGTTGGATGGGCTAGAGGCGTCGTTCTGAAGGCGTTCTGGCTAGGCGTGCGACTTGGTGAGGGACGGGCAGTACTTGCAGATCATCTGCGAGATGAACTCGATGAGCGTGCGCGTGGGCCGGCCCGACATGCCCTTGTGCAGGTAGTGGTTCTCGTGGCCGTTGGTGCGGAAGATGCCGCGCACGTCGATGTGCATCCACTCGCCGCACGGCACGAACTCGCGCAGGAAGGCGGCCGCCTTGCACAGCCCGCCCTCGTCCATCCCCACGTTCTTCATGTCCGTCGACGACGACTTGAGCACCTGCGCAGCGCCGCGCCGCGCCACACGCCCACGCGCCTCTTTCGCACACACACACATTCACACGCGCGCGCGCTGCTCACCCTCAGTCTCTCTCTCCCCACACCCAATCATTCGCCAGCCAACCCACCCACCCAATCACACAGCTTCCCACACACACCTGTCCACCTGCTCACCCTACCAACCACCCATTCACCACTCTCTTCCTCTTTCTTTCTCTCTCTTCACACCCAACCCACCCAATCACACAGCTTCCCACACACACCCATACACACCTGTCCACCTGCTCACCCTCCCAACCACCCATTCACCACTCTCTTTCTCTCTCTCTATTCACACCCAACCCACCAACACATCCAATCACACAGCTCCCCACACATCTATACACACACACACTGTCCCACCTGCTTATTCAATATTCGTCCGCTCTCCCAACTCCCATCGCCCTTATTTCCCACCTCTCGTCATCTCAATTACCCGCCCAACTCACCCTCCATCTTCCTGTACGACCACTCACAACCGAATCTTACATCTACCCTCACAACCTGTCGGCCTACCCACACAGAAACAGTCCGCCGTCCGCCTCCCAACACACACTCGCCCTTCGCTCCCCACAACCAATCACTCGTCGCCAACTCACCCAAGCATCTTCTGCCGGCCTCCCACCCACCCACAATCCACATACGTTCGCCTTCTCGTTAAGTCGTCTGACAAGTCGCGGCAATTTATCTTTTATTTTTACGTGTTTATGGAAATTGTAAACAATAAAACATTCGGGCAAAATAAGTAATTTAAAATAAAATATGTAAAATACGTAATGAAAATTTGGTTATAATTGCTTCAATAGTTATTTATTTATAATTGACCATTCACGACGACCACAAATTTGAGAACTGAACAAAGAAAGGAAAAAATGTAATTTCATAGAAAAATCGCGACACTATTGATGTCTTCACAAAATAATTAAAAATAGCTGTTTTGCTCAGGGGAACATTCATATCCCAGAACGAAATTCTGTGATTATTCCCGGTTTCCCTGAAATTTTTTTTCAAAAAATTCTTAATAACATTTGCAATTTGAGACTAAAAAATACTAAAGGCGGGCGGTTACTACTTTGTATCTTTCTGATTTGCTAGGACAAAAGTACAAGTTTACAATATTTTTCTCAACAAATGAAAACTGAGCAAAAATAAAGCAGTATTAATATTTTTAAGAAATAAATATCAAGTTGTACAACCCTCTCAAAATTTTCCCTGACTTCTGATTATTCTTCTACAAATTTCCTGATTTTTTCATGTCTTCCCCAGAGAAATGTAATTCCCTCACTTTCCCCGTCGTCCATGTCTTCCGGAAACTGGCTACCCTGAAGGAATTCCACTAAGAGTTAAACTACCACTCATGAATTGTACCCGTGGCAATCGCAGCTATTGTCCAATTAAATTAACTTTGTATCTGACAGCTGAGCTTGGTGGGGGACGTAGACCCATCGTCAATGCTCAGAAACACGTGGTGGCGAGAAAATGGCGAGAAAACATGCGTGCCGAAATGATTACAGAAAATAAACTTGTAACTGAACCTACAGCTTGCAGACTCCGTTCGAACAAACGGTGGCGACGAACCGTCAGACACAAAGTTGTTTTAATCGGACAAAATAGTGAGCTCGCGATCGCCCGCCCGCTCACCTGGCGCGAGTAGTGCCTCCAGAGCGGCATGCGCCACACGCGGTCGCCCGTGTGCACGCCCGACATGTGCAGCGAGTCCCAGAGGAAGTCGGAGTTGGTGAAGACGGCGGCGCACGCCCCGCCCAGCGACTGCTCCGCCTCGCGCGTCAGCGTCCCTGAACAAGCCCGCGCTCTGGGTCCCAGCGGCCACGCCGCACCGCCAAATGCCGGAACGCCAGCACACGCAAGGGATCCGCGAGATACTACAGCCCTTTGACCACTTATCCATGTTCTATTCTTGTTTAACCCTAGGATGCATGGACCGGGGTAACTATTTTACATGAATGTGTAAGCAGAGCCTCCGAGACTCTGCGCAATAAGCTCTCGAAAAATACACATTTTTTAAAACATTCTTAATAACTTCATTTTTTAAATAATTTCAACAAAAGTGAACTTTCAACGTTAAAAATGATTATTTATTTAAATATCTATTAAATGTTAAGACACTTTGTACCCATTCGTATGATATTTAGTTTTTACTTCGTGACACGCTATTTGAAACATTTATTTAAAGCGACGTTTAATAGGGTTTCTCAGCAATTTGCAGCCATTTACGCGAGGGCATTGCGTTTGTGTTGTTTCATTCATGCATAACGCAGCGTGCGGGCGACTTCTAGCTTGTAGAGCTTGCCACTAAAACTTTTGATAAGATAAATGGCACAGTAAAACTCAGAAATGAACAGTAGAAGGTAACAAGAAGTCAGCACTTACGTACTTCGATGCAGCTGTCACATAGTTCGATTATTGAAAATGTCAACACACTACATCTCATAGATACGTTGCGGGTTCTACCGGAGTTTAAGAAAGGGTCTTTCTCACTAGTGGTTGAACAGTTGCGGTTGACCGCTAGTGGTTACGCGAATACGTAGCATGAAAAACACTGTCAACTATTCACACAAAAAATAGGTACCCACAAGCAAACCTCGCCTGAAGAGCCTTTTGGCCGATTTTAAATGTCGTCTCTGTATCATGCTGCATCTTTCGCATAAATGGCAACAGTGTGGCAGAGACAGATCTATAACTGGTTGTAAATCCGTCGTTGCTATTGACCGTTGCTTTGTGTGCACGACCAAGAATAATGAGGCGACCACAGATTTACAACGGGCACAAGACAGGCTCGCGAACGCGGCTTGTTCGTGTATTTTTATACGGCTCTGAAGGCGACTCCGCAGAGTCAACCGATGTGGATGCAAGAGTGGGCGGCTGGCGGACCTGATCGCATGTGTGGTCTTAGTCTTGACACGCAGATGGTAAATAAGAAGTAACCCTAAGAGAGGTATGACGTTCAGTGGCATCGATAGAAGTGAACAACAAGAGCGGACCATCTCACGAAGCACTATAGAAGATATCAACAAGCTCATTGATTTTACTCAAATCACAGGCAAAAGTTCTGTAAAACTGAGTACATTACACTGCACTAGGACTGATGTTTTGTTGTGAAATGTTCAGTTGGATTTCCGAAAATGATATCTAAATGTTATTGAGAAGTAACCTCCAACTTTCTATTTGGCTTGAACATAAAAATTCACACAAAATATTTCTATAAAAATTGTTTAATGAATTTCTATTTTCGCCGATTTAAAAATAAGGATCTCGAAAATAATGTGTTTAAAGATAGTACCTCTTGGAATTGCCCATTCTTGGAGATCATGTTTTTTTTAATGTTTGATGTCGGCTTTTGCTCATTATTCCACTAATAAACCTACAGACGAACAATAATGCCAATACGAATTCTCGACACGACTGGCTTTTACAGGCTTAAGGTTTTCCACCATGTGGAGCTCTAAAGAAATCAAATTATTAATTTTTAGGGCGCCTAGTATGTGTAAATAAGTATGTGCGTGCACTGAAATTCTTATGAAGTGTGCCATAAACAGAAGACGCAAATTCGAAAGTAATCTCGTGGTAAACATTTTATAGAAGATTTTTTTAAATAACTTACTTAATGTACAAACGTATTTAAATATGCCAATATATAAAGTTCAAAAAATGCTCTCTCGACACAAAGACGTTGAAATACGCACAATAAGATTTTGTATGTAGATACCGAACAACAAGAAATGAATTATTGTTCTTTGAACATATCATTATGTTTTCGAAAAAGTATGCAAAATACGCAGCCTTTAGAACCCAAGCAAATATCTAGCTCGGATCCAAAGCCCTTTGTTTGTATTAAAGGCTTGCTCTTCCAGCTTTCATGGGCAGTTTTATAGATTATAAATAAATGCCACCAAGTTGCTATCTTGCGGAATGGAAGAAAAGGAATTGGAAGTTACAACTAAAAGCGAATTAAAATGTGTGTGCAAGGAGAGAGGAGAGAATAAGGACGACAAAGGAAAGATCGCGCGCGGTCCGTGGCGCATTTGTTAGGGTACTGATCCGACATTCTCCAGGTCCTCATCGAAGAACCCAAGGGACTCTACCGATCTAAACACCGCAAACTGTATGTGTGCCCTCACAGCCCCGACCAGAGCGATCCCGAGCCGGCGCCACTCACCCACGTCGATGATAAAGCGCGGCCAGAAGTTCTGCGCGTAGTAGAGCGCGTCCGCCAGCACGAGGCGCGCCTCCATGTCGGTGCTCTGCACGCGAATGCTCTTGCCATTCATGGCGGTGACGATGTCGCCGGGCTTGTACGAGTTGCAGCCGGGCATGTTCTCGCAGAGCGGGATGAGGCCCCGGATGTTGATGGGCATGTGCATGGCGGCGAGCGCGCGCGTCGTCGCCACCACCACCGCCGCGCCGGCCATCGAGCCGCGCATGTGCACCAGCTCCTTCGGGTGCTTGAGGCACAGGCCGCCGCTGTCGTACGTCACGCCGCTGCCCACCTGCCGCCAGCGCGCTCGTATCAGTCGCAGTTGAGCAAGTCAGGGCCCACAAGACAGACGTCCTCGTTTATAAAAATAAGGAATAAAAATTGACTTCCTTTACTATAGTTGTTTACATTTAAAAAGAAAAAAAAAGACACCTATTTTTTTGTATTTTAAAAAAAAATTAAAGAACGACGTAGTTTACTGTAAAGGAAATGCAATCAACAAGGCGTATTTTGCCGAATAATTTATTGGGAAGTTACAAATGCAAATAATAGAAAAATATCCCGAGCTCATTTAGAGAGGCTGAAATCATGGGCGCAAAAAAGATTCGCGCCATCTAGAAATACCGACGACGAATATAAATTGGGAAATCAGGATGTTCTGCGCACTATGTTCAGTAAATATATGGAATTATAGTAGTTAATGAGAATCTGAGATGGGCAGAACAGTAGTATATGTTCTATACATGTAAAGTAGATAGTGAAAAGCGCATGGAAGGCATTATATTTTTTTATTAGGATTCTAAAGAAAGGAAGTGGAAAATCGAAAAAAAAATACGTCTCTAGTATGGCCAATAATGGAATACGACTCCGTATGTTAGAACCCACATTGTTTAGGGAAAATTAAAAATATTTATCGAAAAATGATAAATATGCAGCAACATTAGTTAAGAGAGGTTGCCCAAACCTTGAATTTACATCGTGGGAACATTTGGTATCCGCAAAGAAAAATCGAAATTTTGCGCATTATTCAAAGCAACACGACATCGCACTTAATAATTGTTCGTTAGGTCAGTACTAAAAACGGAAAGACTTCGGAAAATTTTCATTTGTAAATTGAAAACAAAATTATAAAAAATTACTAGTAGATGTGCTGGAGTCATTCCCTCAAATGTTTTAAAAGTGGATTAAATAAGATGTAATTGTATCATTTTAGAATATATTTTTCCTTAAAATTAATTATTTTATATTATTATTATTATTATTATTATTATTATTATTATTTTATATTAGCCCAGGTTAACCCGACAAGGTTAGGATATTAATTTTGTAAAATGTTATTAATTGGTTTGTAATTATGTCGTTTGTGAATGTTTGGTAATATATTATTGTAATTAGAAAACCAACAGTTTTCCGTTGGTTGCCAACAGAAATATTTTTATGTAACCCAAAGTATCATAATAAATATTCTGTGATTTTTGTGGTATACCGTCTTGCGTATTTATCTGAAATTAATCGGCATTTAAAAATCAAATCTGAGTTTTCCACCTTTCAAAACTCAACATAATTGAAATGTTGGGATTGTCGACTAAGAGATGTTGGAATCACGTGTTATTCGATTAGGTCCTTTGAATAAATTGTTTATGCCTTCTCATCAGCGACCCAAGTATGCACTAGAATGCGTAAATATGAAAAAAAAAATTATCCATTTGATTCGACCATCTATTTAAGTTGAAAACGTCTTGTAGTGATTGTTCATAAAATGTTATTCCATAATATCCATTCCATTTCAAAAAAAAAGGCTACTGTGCGGTGGAACAACGTCAATATGTGAAGAAAAGAATTATGTCAACAGAAAAGTAGCGAAGTAACCTACTTCAAAATTTGGAAGGTGAACTGCTAATTTTAAAGGTAAATGTAAAACAATTTAAGAAAATATCAACGTCACTATTCTGTTAGGATGCAATGCAAGGGAGTCTTAGGACCTCGGTCTAGCTTCGATGGAGGATTGGGCTTCACGCCCTTATTCATAAAATCAAACGAATTGGCACTCCATACGACATCAAATCAATCGTTTATATCTATCTAAAAAAACAGGATTTTTTTCTGTAAACGTAAGCATTAGATTCCCACACAGTTATTCACTCTCACCCACATTATTCATCTTGTATGTAGCAGATCTCCCGAGATTAAATAGTCCAATTGGCAGATAATACGACGGATAAGGATGTACGCAAACATGTAGGTATATATTTGGCATATTAGGATCTGATTAATTCGACTTTTGCCAGGAAGTGGTGTTCCCAGGCCTGCACGTCATTCACGTCTGGAGGTAAGGGAGTCATGTGGTAATCAGCTTTTTCTTTCACCCTTCTACAGAAACTAAAAGGATTGTTTTAGAAAGCTACAGCTCTATTTTTTTGCAGCGGTCAGATTTGGACCTTGGATCGCACCTAGGAAAGCTAGCTGTTCATGAGCCACCTGCGTGGCTTAATTACAAATTATGAAAATAGTTTATGAACTATTATCTTCTTGACCTGGCTTTTTGAACGCGAGAAAACCTCACAACTGGGCATTCACCAAACAGCAAAACAATTTTCTCAGTCCTATGCGCCTCCCAAGCTCCTAACAATATACAATGAATTGGCACTTCAACAGTTATTGGTATGCCATGACCTAGTTGTTTCTCAGTGACCTGAAATAAATCATTTAAAAAAAAACTTTTGGCTTCAACTTTCTCTAGTCGATACCTCATAATTGTAATGTCTTATAACCACGATGAAAGTCATTAACAACGAAAACACTAACATTACCCAGTCTCTTTTCTAGTTATTATTTACTTTATAGTAATAATATGTGATAATTAAATTTCATATATATA